CAGAATTTGCACCAGGCTCCCCGAGGGCCCGATCCTGTCTCCGGAGGCCTACCCAGCTGCCTTCTTCCAGGCCCTTCTAGGGGGGGTGGGGGGGGTGGACCTCGGCTCTGAGCTGGGATGAGCCGCATGGGGGTCCGGGCAGGTTGGGCGAAGGTTCTAAAGTGGCTGAATTCCACTTTCTAATTCTTGGCTTTGCTTTTTCTTTCCATCTCAGATACAGAAACTCAAAGCCATTTGAAGTCTTTGCAAGCCAAAATTTTCTCTTGGGGGAAAAAAAAGAGCGGAATAACTTGCAGGGATCCTTCCTGGGGCACCAGAAATTGTCCCGTGAAGGAAAAGGCATCTGGAGACCCACCAGAGTCCTTGGAGCCATCTGGAGTTGCTCTGCAGGACAGAGAAAGGATGGAGACACAACCTTTGGCCAAGGAGGGAAGCGGAAAAGGTCCTTCAGCTGCTCAGCCTGGGAAGGTTTGGAAGCTCTGGACAAGCACTGGGCAGAAGATCCTGGAGGAGGAAACCAACCTCCCTTCAGAAGTTCCGCCCCAGAATTTCATCCAATACTGGGGGCCTGAGGGTCCTCGAGGACTTTGCAGCCGAATCCATGACTTTTGTAGGCGATGGCTGAGACCAGAAAAGCACACCAAAGCCCAGATGCTGGACTTGGTGGTTCTGGAGCAGCTCCTGTTCCTTCTGCCCCCAGAGATGGAGGGTTGGTTGCGGGAGTGTGGAGCAGAGACCAGCTCCCAGGCGGTGGCCCTGGCCGAAGGCTTCCTTCTGAGCCAAGCGGAGGAACAGAAGGAGCAGGCCGAGTTGCAGGTGAGAGACTTTATGTGTTTGAATACTTCACCCTTCCTTCCCAAACTTCTGACATTCATAATATGTGGTGATGTCCAACCAATTCTTGTAGGACATTGTTTTCTTACTCAACCACACTTATGGATATTGAAGGCTTTGAGGTTGAGTTCTGAATATAAGAATCCACTTTATGTTGTGTGATGTACATTAATTCTGTTTCTTCCTTACTTCCTCCTATTTGAAGTGCTGCACTGTGGAGATCAGAGATTCTGAGGGAAAGAAGAATGCATCCAACCCCCCTCAGAAGCTATTTTTCAGTGGGATCCCTTGGAAAGACCCAAGTCAAATCACCTTAGGAGGTAATTGAAGATCCTTCGATTACCCAGAGAGATCTCATCTGTCTTACCTTCTGCTCTTCTGTAGAATACCTCCTCTTATTTTGTTAAATATGAATTTTGAAATTATTTATTCCTTACAGAGAAGCAAAGAATGAAGATTTCTGGATTTTACGATGGAGTTCAAACAGTGGTTGAATCTCCGAATCAAGTAAGAAAGAGAAAAGTTATTAGATTTGTATTGCTCTTTCCTTCGGGACGTAAAGCGGGTTTGCAGAATTCTCTCTCCTTCTATTTCCCCCCTTGTTTGGACTGGATTATTTTTGTGTTCCTGCGCTACGCTGCATGGACAGCATAATAGCAGGTTCAAGTTGCTGTCGGCCAACTTAACTTCCTCTGTACACTACTACTGCGACACAATGTTAATTTTTTAACAAGTCCTTCAAGAAATAGGAATAAATATATCATAATGGCAGTAACTGCAGGTGACCTGTTCTTTTTTCTAATACTTTGACTTGGAATTGTGCAAGATTAATAAAAAAATAAGTAAATACTCACATTGCTATTTTTAAAAAGCCTTGTTCATGACCAGTCGTTCAAAAAAAAAAAAAGCAAATCATATTAAAAAATAAAGCAGAATTTTAAAATCCAAGGCGAATGGCCAATTGAGCATGTCATAGCGATACGTTGGGCTATAAAATAATTTCCAATCCTCTGATTTGTTCCTGGATTAGGAGATCAAATATTCCCGCTTTGCAAAGGCTGAGAAATGGCATTTGCAAAGAATTTTCTCTTTCTTTTCTCTCATTCATCCATTGTCTTAGACTACTACATTAATACATGATAGATAGAGCGATACATCAGTTGATCCACAAGTGGGATTACTTTATGAAAGGCACTGTAAGTTCTACAGAATCAAGCAACTTGATAACACTTGCCCCAAATATTTCTACCATTTCTACCATATTCCAGCCATTTTACTTAGTGCATATCTCTGCTTTTCAAATTTGGGAACAATGGAGCGGAATAACAGAGTTGGTAGAGATCTTGGAGGTCTTCTCGTCCAACCCCCTGCACAGACATGAAGCCCTGCCTATAACATTTTAGATAAATAGCTGTCCAGTTTCTTCTCAAATCCCTCCAGTGATGGAGCATCCACAACTTCTGGAGGCAAGTCATTCCACTGATTAATTGTTCTTACTCTCAGGACATTTCTTTTTATTTGTAGGTTGGTTCTGTCCTTGATTAGTTTCCATTCATTGCTTCTTGTTCTGCCTTCAAGTGCATTGGAGAATCCCTCCTTGATTCTCTCTTCTTTGTGGCAGCCCCTTATATCTTGCAATATTGCTACCTTGTCACCCATAGTTCTTTTCATTAAACTAGACATACACAATTCCCGCAACCATTACCGAGGGTTTATAATACTCGATGTGATGTTGATTCTATCCTTGTCTTAATGCAGCCTATGATTGGATTGGGGTTTGGGGCAACTGCTGACTCTTGTTTAAGAGACTCTGTAATGGACTCCCAAGATTCCTTTTGCACTTTCTACTGTTGAGCCAAGTATCAACTATTCTATGACTGTGCATTTAGTTTTTCTTTCCTAAATAAAGGACCTTACATTTCTCACCGTTGATTTTCATATTGTTAGATGGCGCCCAATCTGTCGATCCTTCTATATCTCGAGCTTATCCTCTGGAGTGTTCTTATTCCTGACAATTTGGTCTTGTGTGCAAATTTGATGAGTTCCCCTTCTATCCTCTTGTCTAAGTGGTTGATGAAGATGAACAGATCTTGCGAATCTCCAATTCTGTTCTTTTTCCTTTGTTCAGGAGAGTCTGGTGTCCTTCGAGGAGGTGGCTGTGTATTTCTCTGAGGAGGAATGGTCTCAGCTGGATCCTGACCAAAAAGCGCTGCATTCAGAAGTCATGCTTGAAAACCATAGGAACGTGGTCTCTCTTCTGGGTAAGAGTTTTCTTGTCCACAATCAAAGAGTTCAAGATGACAGATTATAGTTAGTTTTTTATTTAAAAAGTCACTAATTAGATATTGTATCCTCGGAGGGTGAAGGAAAGGATCTGGCCTTCTCGTACTCCAAGGAAAGAAAGAGTCACTATGTCTTTGCTTACATGTTTTCCGTGAAGAGCATTTTCCCAATCAAATTCATGAACAGAGGCCTGATGTAGTATGGCTCAGAGAATTCCAGGGTACAGGTAATCCCTAAGTTACGACAATTCATAAGTAATTACTTAAGACCCGGTCCTGAAAATATAAATGTTGCAGCACAACGGCTGTCATTCATACTTACAAACAACAGAAGAGGCGCTGCAGCATTCGCTCCATCTATACCCCCACCCCAGCCCGCTGAGACTTACATTGTGATGATATAGCGAGACGTCGGTTCCTTTGCCTACTTTGGTGAATTTGCAGAAAACAGAGGCCTAAAATAGTGAGAGATATGTGAGATCAGTAGTACAAAATCTCACACTAGTGATGTCACGTGATCTTGTACTACATTATTTTAAGCCTCTGTTCTCTGCTAACCAAGGCCTGCACGATATCCAAGTCAAAATGCTTTGCAAACAGAGGGAAGGCTTCTTAATTTTCAAAAACTGCCCCTGAATTTTGTGCAGGCGTCAGTTCGTAAAGAACACAGGCCAAAAATACTGCAGTGCGAGATCACGTGTGATCAGTAACCTGAGATCTTGCACTTTTTGTCTTGTTTGATCTTGTACTAAAGTAGTTTAGGCCTCCGTTTTCTATCAACTGAAACCTGTACCAGATCTGGTCAAAGAGCCCTTATAAGCTGATAAGACTTTGGGACAGCGAAATAGCCATTCTTGAAACCTTCCAACCTTTCCAGTTTCCGCACAAAGAGCATTTAAAAGCTAATGGGAGGCTTCAAGCGAGGGATTTCGCTGCAAAGTCTCATTGCTGAGATCAAGGAATGGGCCGAGAGGGGGCCCTGCCTGCAAGACAAATACCATGGAGCAGCTGCTCCAAGGTACCCCAGAGAAGGAGCTTGCTTCAAAAATTGTTTCAGTTCTCACAGGTCTCTACTGAAATTAGCACACCCCAATAAATCTTGAGATTTCTCCCAATTTCTACTTGATTGTTTCCCCTGATTATACTCAAAACTGACTAAGATTTTCATGCATGCGTGCATGCGTGCGTGCGTGCGTGCATGTAGATAGATAGATAGATAGATAGATAGATAGATAGATAGATAGATAGATAATTGTAAAGAAAGATATATTTTCTAGTTATTTCCAAACCTTTCATGACTCACGAATATAGAAATCATCATGTCAATATCACAGTGCTATAGGCATGCAAAATACAACATAATGGAATTTTGGAAAAATTCAGAAGTAAATTAACTTGACTTTCTACATTTTGATCTTTTTCTCTAACTTCGTTAACATTTTCATTTCTCTTTTGCTTTGAAGGTAATAATGGGCAGGAGAATCAAGATTCCTGTGAACTGTTCCAAGTGAAAAAGGCTAAAGATGGAACTGAGAAGTTAGGATTTGAAATGGAATTCGAAAGCCATGAGAGAATCCAATCAAATAATTGGAATCAGGCAAGCTCATCTTCCACTGATGCTCCGATGCAAGACTTTCTTGCCCAACAAGAAAAAATAAGGAAAACAAATGTTGGGAATATAATCAAAGATAAATTACATGTAGATGAACACTATTTGACCCAAAACAAATGCAAAGAGCACGATAACATGTTCAAAAGTGGTAGTAATCTTATTTCCCATAAAAGGATCCACTCAGGAGAGAAACAATATAAATGCATGGAGTGTGGAAAAACCTTTGCTCGTAACAGTGGGCTTAGAAACCACAAAAGAATCCACACAGGAGAGAAACCATATAAATGCATGGAGTGTGGAAAATCCTTTACTGTGTGTAATAGACTTACTAAACACAAAAGGATCCACACAGGGGAAAAGCCATATAAATGCATGGAGTGTGGCAAGACCTTTGTTCAAAAATCTAATCTTATTTCCCATAAGATCATCCACACAGGTGAAAAGCCATATAAATGCATGGAGTGTGGCAAGACCTTTGCTCAATGTAGTTATCTTTCTTCCCATAAAAGGATCCACGCAGAACAGAAACCATATAAATGCATGGAGTGTGGAAAAACCTTTGCTCAGAGTAATGCTCTTACTTCTCATAGCAGAATTCACACAGGAGAGAAGCCATATAAATGCACGGAATGTGGAAAGACCTATGCTCAGAATGGTAGTCTTACTTATCATAAAAGAACCCACACTCGGGAGAAAGTATCTAGCAATAGCAATTCCACTACAAACTTATCTACTTCTCCAAAAAGCTTTATAGCAGTCTTTGAGCAGTTTACAAAATCAGCATATCGTCCCAAGAAATCTAGGTCCTCTCATAGGCTGAATCAATCATGAGCTGCTTGTAGTACTGTATTTTAATCTCTAATCCACCATATCTATAGATTTTTATGTTTACTCATATTGGGCTTTTCTGATCCAAATGAGGCAAGGTTGAATCCAACAATAGGAAATTTAATGTGGAGAAAAGTAAGATTTTATATCTGGGCAGTAAAAACAGAATACATGAAACCTGGCTAAAAAGGGTAATGTGAGAGGGACCTGGGGAGTCCGAATGGATGATCTGTTAAACATGAGTCACCTGTGTGTGGCAGCAGCTTAAAAAAAACTAGTACAATCCTTGGTTTGTATAAGCAGAGACATAAAATCAAATGAAGTATTAGTACCGTTTATAAAGTCTTAGTAAGAGCACGCTTGGAATACCGCATCCAGTTTTGGTTATCACATTACAAAAAAGATGTTTAGACTTTGCAAAGAAGATCAGCTAAGCTAATTAAAAGGCCTGAAGATTAAAACAAATGAAAATGTTGCAGGATTTTGGTTTGGCTAGTCTAGAGAAAAGGATTAGGAGTGACAAGATAGTGGTATTCCAGTACTTGAGAGGCTGCCACAAAGAGGAGGACATCAATTCATTTTCCAAAGCACCAGACTGCAGTACAAGTAACAACAGATATCAACTAATGAAGGAGAGAAGCAACCTGGAATTAACAAGAATATTCCTTACAGTGAGGACAACCAGTGGAACAGCTTGCCTTCAGACATTGTGGATGCTTCATCACTGGATGGTTTTAAGAAGAGACTGGACAGTCACTTGACTGAAATGACGTAGGATCTCCTGCTTGAGCAGGGGGCTCAACTGTCAGCCCTAGATCCATCATTCTTCAGACTTTACAGGGCTGGCGCAACGGGAACAGAAAAGTAGCGATGGGAGTATAGTCATAAGATTATTTCACATGAGATCAAGGACAGGCTGCTGGTACCTGGAGGGGAGTGACCAAAATTTGGTGGCAGCTGAGATGGGATTGATTGGGCCATGTGATGTGAATGTCACTGGACAGGGTGAGTTAGTGTGGGTGGGGGGAAACGTGGGATTTCAGATTCGGGTTTTCCCCATATGTGCCAATATGATTTCTCTAATAAAATCTTACTTTTATGGATTTTTGTCTCGGAGTTCTGAATTGCAATGAGGAGTTTGTGGAAAGGCTGACACCAACTGTTAATTTGATCTGAATCAGAATGAAAATCACTCGTGTGCTAACATTGCAAAAGATCAGGAAGACCTTTGAAAAACAATGGGGTCAAAATAACGTGAAATTAAGAACTACTTCAAAAAACTTTCAGTCCTTCCTGATGAAACATACAAATAGGAACTTTCTCTTGAGTTGAGAAGATACCAAAAACCTGTCAATAAAGGAGAAAATGTGTAACTCACAGTTGAAACCAGGGATCCTTGGTCTTCTCTGAGCTCAATTGTTTTGTTGCAGACATTTCATTATCCAAACCATCATTAGTGCACTAAGCAACCTCAGAAGGCACCAAGGACCTCAATCCAACTTGCGTCCATTATCAAATTAAGATCTGCGTCAACCGGTATGAATGCAGAAGCAGGGAAACTTTTTAGGTTAAAGACCGGTTATGATGTGATGGAATAATGACAGATGTCAGTGTAGAGTGTGCAAAAAGCTTCAGAGTGAACAATTCGTCTTTCAAAGACCAGAACAAACAGAAGCAGAAAAAATGCAGGGGCAAAAGATATTTTTCAAACTTTAGGGCCCTATTTCTGCCTTTTTAATGGTGTGCCAGGGACTAGGGAAAAGTATAAAACTAATTTAAACAAAAGTAAGTACCTGGTGTGGTTATGGTCTAAACAGGCATAAAATTCTCTTTGTTGCATTAAAAATTACTTTATTAACAATAAATTGTTTGGATGGCCTTGGGTGTGTGTGTACATATTTCAGCTCTTGCTGGTTCCCACCCCCAAATACGGCTTACTAAAGATTCTGTATCAAACGAGGGGAAAAATGCTTTACCACCATTGTTTAAAATTGATTTTAACCATGTTTCCATCATTTTAAATACTTTGCTTTGCTCACTGTACCTAATCGCTTTGTGTGTCATTGTCGACTCAAATTGAATCTTTTCATACCAATGGAGTCTTGAGCTTTTCTTATTTTGCTATTTTATTTTATTTTCCTTTTTATTTATGGTTTAATGATATATCTATGTTAAATTCTCTAAAGGGCTTAAGCTTCCTAGTCACGTTTCTTGTAGTGAATTTCCTCTTCAATCCCTATCTAAAATTTTTTTTTCCTCATCATAGTTTAGCTTTATATTCCATTTTTCATGATCTTCCTTTCTTAGTTTTGTAATTTTACTATTTCTTCATTCAGGGATGAAACACCATTTACCCTCAATTAAGGAGCCTCATTATGAGGTACAATTTAGGGAATATCCATTGGTTTCAGCTTTTCCTCCATTGTGGAACTGGTTTTTATTTTTCTTCACAGTCTTTCCGTGGGTACAGAAGATGGATCACCCGGAGTGTTTATCAGAAGAGCCTGGAGGGCCCTTTTTCTTTGCCCCTTTTGGCCGCCCTTTCATTGTGAGGTTGAGGGAATAGTTTGAGAAGGGCAACTGTATGTATTCAAATAAAGAAATCAATTTTAAAAAAAACAATCATTTTCCTGATTGTGGCTTCCCTGCCTGTGTCCCATCTTCCTCCACTTACGACCAAAGTTCTCAACAACCATAAGACACAAGCTACTGTATGCTTCCTGGAGAGCCTCTTGGTCCTCATCTTCTGACCACCTGGCTGCTTCTGACAGGATTTGGACCCTTTTGAGGCCAATCTCTGCCCATCCTTCAGGGCGGCTGTTCTTGAGGGAAGCGAGTTTAAATATCCAGAGATATTTTTTTTTCCCATTTCCACATACGGTTTCTAGACAGGAAGGAGAGGGAGATGGAGATGGAGATAGTGCCGTATATGGACACCACAAAGCTTTTCTTGGGCAGGGAGGCACTGAGAGGGACCTTTCCTCCTATTCCCATGACGATCATCCCTGCCCTTACCTCAGAATGATGCTCTACTCTTTTCCCGCGCTTTGCAGGGAATCCTGTAAATTTACGCAAAATCCACTAGGGGGCGCCTGCTGTCAAGAGGAGAAAACATCAGGCGCCTCTCTATTGGCCCGCTGGAAGGGGAAAGTTGTAGAGGAGGCTGCGAAGGAAGTGACATCATAAACGCTTACCGCTCTAGGATATCGCACTCGCTCTCCTTAACCCCTGTGACTCCGTAAGAGGTGGAGAGGCTGCGGGAGAGTCCGACGTGCCCCGGGTGAGTTAGGGGCTCTTTCCGGCAAAGGGAGGCGGCGGAGGGAGAGACCTGCGCCCAACCCTCCTCCGGCTTCAACCCGGGTCCCATGCTCCCCAGCCGCCCTCTCCCTCCAGGGGGAAGCGGGGATCCCAGGGAAGCGGCGGGGATCCGGGAAAGAGCCCGAGTGTGGGGAAAGAAGGGTCGGCATTGCCCAGCAGGAGAGGAGAGAAGCCGGGCGAGGATTCAGATTTAGATTCAGGTTTAGTTTATTTGTATGCCGCCCTTCTCCGGGAGGGACTCAGGAGGGCCTGGGGTTAAGATTCCAACCCCACCCGAATTGTGTGACTGTTGTGCTCTCTTTTAATATGTTGTTGTTGTATTGTTTCCATATTGGAATACTGTTTGTCTTTCCCCCCCTCCCTTTTTGAATTGTGAGCCGCCCTGAGTCCCCCCCAGGGAAAAGGGCGGCATACAAATAAAGGAAATGAAATGAAATGAAAT